GTCCCATTTCATACCCTTGCCACTGAGCCATCTCTGCTCCTTCCTCTCTCTGGGTCCCGGGCAGGCCCCGGGCTGGGACTTGGATGCTGACCCTGTATTGTTTGCCATTGTGTGACCTTGGGGGAACAGCTGCAAAGGCATATGGCATTTCCATCCCCGGAAGATACTATTTCCCATTCCCATTTTACGTCACGCACAATCACATGGAAATATTCACGATACCCCTTTGAAAGTGCTCAGTGGCTATCTAGACCCAGAGAAATAGTTCAGTCATTCGAATGATAGGTTTGTCCCTCGGTCCACGAACTTGGCCATTGGTGGTGGTGGTTGTGGGTGAGCCTTGCACACGTGGGCTGCGGTGGCTGAAGTGCTGTCCCCTGGGTCCTGAGCAGGGCTGGAGCTGCTGCTGGCAGGCCTGCAGGTGAGCGGGGAGGTTTTAACTCACTTGCTGCCTGCAGTGCAGCAGTTTAGAAGGGGGAGCATTCACTCAGCCAACCTTTTATTGATACCAAACCCTTATCTAGAGACCAAGCTTTGTATTAATAGAGATCTGAGCTTGACTTCTAGCTCTGCCGCCTGCTAACTTCACAAAGGACCTCAGTCATTCCTTTATATTTTCTCATTTGTGTTTCTTTTTTGAAGATTCCCAGGAAAAACTTTGCATTCTTTTCAGACCCTTGTTATCACCTGTACATTCTACAAATTCACGCGAATCGCTGCTAACTGCAATGGCAGAAGTCATAAAACACAGATGCGTTTAACCAGTCTTTCTCCAGGTCTGCATCTTCTGGTGTTACCATCTTGGGGAGACAGTGTGCACCTTCCAGTTCTCCCCTCCATCCTCACGCGGGGTCTGTATTCCTTCCCTACCTGCATTACCTGGAGTCTGGACCTCACATCAACTCCCCTCCTGTCCCCCTCTCCTTCCCCTTGGGCTGAGGCAGGGAAAAGTCACCTCTAGACCAGGAACCAGCCAGCCGCAGCCCATCTTCCACTTTCTGCTCCTCTGGACTCAGGCGGCTTCTTTCTCATCACGACCGCACTACAGGGAGTTTTTCTTTGCTCTCTCTACCTTTAAGATGATCAGCTTTTACTTCTAGGATATTGTGTTTCAGCCTTGACTACTCAGCCTTTAAGGTTCCCAAAGGAACTTTAAAAAAGTCCTGATGCCCAGGTCCCGTGCAGCTGATGACTGGAGACCCACGGCTCAAGGGCGCTGATTCCTAAACCTCTAGGCTTCGTCTCTTCTCATCTCCCTCTTCGGTGCAGGACATCAGCTAGGTCTGTTGGCTGAGGGCTCCTCACATTTATGTCACAAGCCCTGCTGGTGACCCTGGGCTCTTCGGCTCCCCTCCCCCTTCCCCTCCCCCTTCCCCACCCTCTCAGGCTTGGGGGCTCTGGCTGTTCCCGACTCTGCCCCAGAAGGACGGAGGCTGGCTGTCTCCCAAGCCCCCTCTGTGGCTACAGGTGTCTGGTGTCTTCATGGCTCACCAGACCGAGGTGCACCTTGTGCCGGGCCTCCTCCCACCTCTACCTGCTTCCCCGGAACCGCAAGGACAGATCCCAGAGCCAAGTGTAGGTTCCCTTTTCTCTGCTCCCCATTGCGTGAATAGCTTCTGTTATCTGTGTGTCTCCGCCTCCCTGTTTAAGCTGTCTCCTCTGCTGTCAGTCAACAGCAGCTGCTCCCCTCCAATGTTCCTTCAGACTTCTGAACCCTGGCTTTGCCCGAGATGTCCTCTACCCTGGAGATCCTGTTTGTCCCTTAAAACTCGGCTATGAGGGTGCCACCCCCTTCCCTGGTCCGTCACTGGGCCACCTTCTCCCAGGTGCTGGTCACCTTGGCCTTGGTCTTCCAAATAGATGATAGGAACTTTGAGGACGGGGCTGTGTTCTGCTTACCTGTCGTGTTTCGATGTGCTGGACACAGTACTGTTGTGTAAAATTTTACTGTGCTCAAGGAGATTTGCCTATATGAGTGCGCTCTCTCTCTCTCTCTCTCTCTCTCTAGCTCACCTGGCCCCTAAAATGATTTGTTAAACATTAGACTCCCAGTTTCATCTTACATTCGACATCTGCGTTTTTTTTTTTTTTTTTGGCACTGGGGATTGAACTCGGGACCTTGTGCTTGCAAGGCAGGTGCCGGAACCACGGAGCTAAATCCCCGGCCGACATCTGTGTTTTTAATGACAAATTTAAATATTGAGAAGGAGCTATTTCCTGTTGCATGCGTGTGTTACATATTTTCATTTGGATCTTGGAATTGTAGGTTTGATACCTTTAATTTATGGAAAGTTTCTTCCATCTAAGTAATGGACAAAGTCAGTCTTCAGTCAAACCAGAAAAATAGCCAAATCATACACTCAATAAAAAAAAAGATCTGACTTTATTTTAAAAGTCAAATAAACGTGGCTATTAATTCTCAGCCATGTTACCAGGGCTCCTGGATGTGGCAGGGTACTGGGCAGCTAGCTGCCTCATCCACACGGTCTGCCTGCTCCTGGCTGTCCTGCAGGAGGGCTGCTTCTCCTCTGTTTTTCTCAGTCCCTGTGCCTTGGGGCCTGGAGGCTTCTACACCTTGGGTAACGTAGCAGGAGAGATCTAGCCTTTCTTGTGGTGTAAAGGACGGGTAGGAATGGGGAACTGACAGATCACAGGTTTAACATGCATCCAAGTGGGAGCTGAAGTCCAACAGACAAAATTTATTTAAGGCCTCCTTGGTGCGATGGTGTTTACGTAGGACACAGTTGAAGGAGTGTTCAGATCCCTTCACCCAGATGGCTGGACTTTGCTAGTACTTTAGAAACTCACCTCCCACTTAGGAGAGAAGGTCAGATGTCATCTTGATGCTTCACAGAGCCCCACGTTCTTGCTGTGAAGCCACTCAGCATAGTAGTTTCCCCAGAATAAAGATCCACCAGACTCTCGGACCCCTTCAGAACAGCCGCAGCCCCCATCTGTGGGTGCCAGCGCCCCTCCCGGGTGGTGGCTGGGCTCAAGCTTGTGCCATGTCCCTGATCACTGAGTCGCCTGTGCAGCAAGCTTCCAAAGGCCCAGCGAGGGTTCCACTTAATTGTAGGGTGCTACTCTGATGTTTACACACAAATGTTTACAACTGCAGCTGCTATCACCACCAATGATCATAATCATAATCTCTAGCCCTTTAATTGGGGCCTTGGATGATCGAGACAGAGTGTAGAAGTTAACATTAGACACAGAACCCTTACTGTCTTAAGACTTGGAGAGTGCACTGGTGATTTTATGGGCATCCTGCCTGGCACGATGGGGTCTACAAGAGAAATCGCTATTGGGCCGGGGATTTAGCTCAGTGGTTCCATTGCCTGCCTCATAAGCTCAAGATCCCGAGTTCGATCCCCAGTACCAAAAAGAAAAAAAGAAAAAAAAATCGATTCAAGTTCTTGCAGCAGCGATGTCATTTGGTGACGTCATGTGGTGAGTTTGGCTTGAAAAACAACAATGTCAAGAAAGGCCAGACACACCTTTGGGGAGCCTCAGGCTTACACGATTTGGAGAAAACTCATTAAAAAGAGAGTCTACAATTCCAAATGAGGTGCACATCCCATCCGGCTGCAGTTTATCTGCCTCACATCAAACCCGCTGCAGAGTGCTTTCTGGCGGGCAGCTGCATGCTCAGCGTGCACCCCTAGCTTTCTGGGCAGCCCCCACCTCGGCCTCTGCTGGAGAGGTCAGACCCGAGCCAGCAAGGGGCTCTCTGCTGTGCCTGTGCCAGCCTGGGGGCTGGGCCAGGTCTGCCCGGCGGGTCTTTGTCCAGGTACTGGTTTGTCTTCCTATTTACTACGGTTTCTTAAATATGTGATAAGTGTGTCAGAGCTTGGGAAAATACTTAAAATTGTAAATAGCTGATCTCTTTCCTCTCTTGAGGAACAGGAAGGCTGTTCCACACCAGCCTTGATGAACACCAGCTGTCGAGGGGACTCTTGCCCTTCAGCTCTCTCCACACCCGGCTACTGTCATGGCCTCCATTTTCTTGCTGGGCCCTGCACACTCCTGAGGTCCCGAGGGGGGCCCTGTGCACCTCCTGCTGGCTCCTGGGTCTCTGCCTTGTCCCTGCCCCCATGCCCTTTGGTCTCTGATTTCTTATTTTGCTGGTGTCCTGATAATTTTTAAAGAAAATGGTAGTTCACTGTGTATTAATGTTCACACCCTGTCTGGCTAGCTGCCTTTTCTGTAGGTCTTCTGCTGGGCCCAGGCCATTCTCAGATTATCTCATAAAGCACTGTATATACTTACTACCGATATCTTGACTTTTGTGTTCGATTTCAGACTTCAGGCCACCTCTTTCTTTTTCTAAATATGATGCATGGTCTATTAAAAATTGTATTGCAGTAAAAGAGCGACAGTTTGGGAATTGCAGGTCTCCTGCTGATGTAAGTGGGGAAAGACTGGACAGGACCCAGCTGAGAAGTGTCCCTGGGACTCCAGACCCCTTGAGAGAGCAGTCACTGTCACCATAGCCAGCAGAACTCTTCCTCCTCCCCAGGGCATGCAGTGCAAAACCTACGTTCAGCCACCCAGTTGACTACTCTAACCGTCGTTGGCTTCTTCATGAACTCCTCAGGATTTTGCATGAAAAAGTTTCAGAATTAGAAGGACAAAAGTGCAATGGAATTTTTTTGCTGGTTGATACTTCCATCTTTCTTGCAAAAAGGTGAGGTAGCAGTCATTGTGCTAATTGGTAAATGATGTAGGGAACCGCACACAAATCCCCACCAGGCTGTCTGAGAAAACGCTTCAGTGTGCTCGGGCCAAGAAAGCGACAGTCTTTGCCATGTAATGCCACTGCCACTTCGTTTCGAATAAACTTTCAAAGAAGTCCTGTTTAGGGCAGTGAACTTATATTTTAAAAATCTATGGAAACTGCATATTAATATACTGCATATGCATATTAAAAAAACATAAGTTAACCCCCAGGAATGATCAATTTCAAATTAATACACAGCTTATATAATTGGAAAAAGAAAAGCTTTTTCGATATATATTTTATTTGACAGTGTTGTTTTAGAATATCATACAGTAAACAAGATTTCTGTAAAAGTTAATTTATCCATAGTGGTGCGTTTCATAAAAATAGTTGCTCACTTACAGTTTTTCTGTGACTATTAATACATGGAATTATATTTATAGAGATACAGCTGTACAGGGTAAATTCTCAGCTAACACTACACAGAAATATTATTTGGGATGGGTTGAGATGGTGTGCTGTCCTCACAGATTATGGATTACAGCCGCATAAAGCAGTTGCTGCACGAGTAGTAGCTGTGAACGGTGGAAATTAGAGTTTATGCAAATGTAATCTCGAGTTTTTCCTTTTGTAGCACATGAAAAATAAATGTCGGAGGATACAGTACCAGGACGTGCAGCTACACTACAAAAGCATTGTCCGGAACCAGATTCAATAAATTAATGGCAAACTAGACTGGATTTCTAGCCTAGGGGAGAAAGACTAATTGAGATTAAACCAAAAGGGTTATAAACTGCTACATGTGTTTGTGCTTTTGTTTACGACGGATGGGTTTCATTTTTGGAAACTGCTTGTACAAGCTGCAAGGCCCTCCACAGGAGGCTTTCCACGTCAAACAGCTAAACTGCTCCTTTGTCAGATGGAAGTGAAACGGCTAGCTCTCAGGTAACTGCACTTAGGAAGAGAGGGAGAGAGGGGGGAAACCAGAAAGGGCCACCTATGCATCTGCACCCCAGCTCCGCTTAGGGCGGATGATGGGAAGGGCGAAGCCTCTTGTGTACAGAGCATATTAAAGACAAACTGCCCGAAGAGACATTTTTGCCTTTTAATATATGTAGCTACAATAAGTACCAAAGGAGAATTAATTGATGCTAACATTTTATAAAGACATCCTATTGCAGCGGGGGAGAAAGACAGCCTTAGACTTTCACTGGGGGATGGAGCTGAGACCCATGGAGATAAACATAAACACTGAGCGGGTAGCGGTTGCTGATGAGATTACAAAATTTAGCAAAGAACTCGGGACAAAATCCAAATGGAACCCAAAAGTGGAGGAATTAGGAAAGAAAGATGAGCAGGAGGGAGGCTAAAAGGTCTCATGTTCTTTAATGAAAATAAATTAGTTATAATAGCGACTTTTTTTTTTTTTTTTTTACTATTAGAGGTTCGTTCTAATCTGAGAGATAGGACACATACTCGGCCTCAGTTCTGTCAAAGTGCAAACAAAGCGATGTCTCCAGAGGGCCTGACCGCAGACAGTAAGACAGTGAACTCCACACAGGGATGAAGCCTGCTCACAAAGGGACCACGGTGCCGCCAATCCTGATTCGAAGGATGGTGGTCTTTCAATCATAAAACTGGTATTTCAGAGGAAAATCAATGAAGGACTATGAGCTAAACTGCAAAATTCTGACTCATGGCAAACTGTTCCCTAGGTTACAATTTTTAAAACCTTTTTTTTCCTACCACTGAAAATGTACAGAAATATGATTTGATCACCGAAATGGCAGTAAAAATGGGATCACACCAATGAACTCACTAGGTTTCTACCTCACCCCGCGGGAGGCCGGGTGTGTGGAGTGGTTGTGGGTGAACAGTTCTGAATGTTTCAAAGAAACCCCTTCACCCCGTCTAGATATGTCGAGGACGATTTATTTACAAGGCTTTCGATCAATTAAAAGATATAATCTTGTCTCAGTTTCAGCTTGCTCCGTGCAGTTTGATTGTTAAGGCGATATTCCAGTTCGTGATTGCTCTAACTCGTCCAGTTGCTTGGTGTAAAGTCTGGTGGCACGCGAGTCCCTCATGCAGCGGGGAACTGACTCTTTTTCACTAAAGCTGCACTGCACCGTCTGGTCTCTGATGTTCTGCAAGATCTTCTGGTTCTTCCACAGCTGCCCCGGCCGCGCAGCCGGGTGCCGGGCACGGGCTTCGGGTCGTAGGGCCTGTGGGTGGCCGCATGCGTGCGTGCGTGCCGGGCGTGGCGCCTCATGGACCTATGCGTGTGACAGTGACAATAAATTAAAACGCCGGGAGGGAGCCCGGGGGAGGGCTGCTGGTGCTCACCGGCTGGCGGCCGAGGCGCCCGGCTGGAGCGCGCCCTGCAGCCGGTCGGAGCCTGGCACCTTCCAGGGCCCCGGCGCCACGGCTGCCCTGCGCGACGCCAACCCGGACCCCGACCCCGACCCCGGGGCGCCCCCTTGGGGCTTCGGGCCGGGTGCAGGGCGGGGCCCTTCCTTCCCGCCGGGCGCCTCCTCCTGCCTCGGCCTCCCCGTTCGCTCGCTCTGCTCCCCGAGGCGCTGCTTCTTCTGGCTGCCGGCTGGGAGCTCCTTTGGTTTCCTAACGTCGTGTTCCCTTTTGACATCCCAAGCCGGGTCTGGGCTCCTCGGGTGGGCAGGGTCGGAGGGTGGGGCGGGATGAGATGGCGAGGATGAAGAGAAGAGGTCCTCGAGCGAGACGCCTACTTCCGGCAGACCTGGGCCGGCGGCGGCGGGAGCGCTCCGGGAGCCGGGTTCGTCTGCGGACACGGAGCACAGCGTTAGGGGGCGCGCGAGCTCGGCCTGCACCCCGCGACCTCCCCTGCACCCCGCGATCGCCCCCTGCTGTCTGGGACCCGGCGCCCTCCCTCTCCGCCCCGGGCTGGGGTCCCCTGCTGTCTCGAACCCCTCACCGGGAGGACCCTGCAAAGCCGGAGCCCCATCTAAGTCCCGGGCGTCCTCAGAGGCCACAGCCCTCTCTGCTCACGGACGGCAGGGCGCTCGGACCAGTGGTTCTCAAACTCGGTCCGGGTCCCGCCACCGGCAAGAAGGGGGTTTGAGAAGCACTGGTGGGGTCTCCACACCGCTGGGAGGGACTTTCTCAACCACTAGGTGTCACCCAAAGCCCGTCTTAGCTGCTACTGCACATGACCTCAGAATTTGGATAAACTCATCTAAAAACAAACTATCCTTGTTATCTTGCCTTAAAAAAAATCACTGTCCTTAATTCTTTTTTGTACTTCTAACGTAGAAGGCCCAAGACTAAGAGAAATGATTCTTTTTAGGAAGCCCAGTTTCAACATTTATTTAGGATTTCAACTCTTGGCTGCTTCTAAAAAGGTTTAAGACAGTTCACAACATCAAAAAGGTATATAAAGCAGAATGATAAAAATGGGAAAAGTTTTTTTTAAGCAACTGCTGGTCAGCAGCCAAGTAGGGGACAGATATGTTAGGAATCGAGATGAGTTAGTTTCTGCCACGAGCCTTCCAGCTACCCTGAGTTTCAGTTCAACACAGCCAACCCTTGTATTTGTGAGGAACATGTCTGTGACATTCGGAAACCCTCACACGTTGTCCTTCCATTCTAGGACGTCATTCATTTCTCCCGAGGAATCGGTCACACAGGGGAACAAAGACATGTCGCTATCTGAGTTCTGGAGTGGGGACCCCCCTCACGAGCCAAGATTCAGCCCCGGTCCAGGCTCCCTAACCTGTGCCCCAGACACCAGGGGATCCCCGGGCTTCCAGGCCCTAATGGCCAGGGTCTGTTTTGCTTTAAAGTTAGGGATTCTGGTGTGGTAACTTTGATACTGACTATGAAGTAAGAGGAAGAGCTCTGAAGGAGACCGTGGGCTGATTCTTCCCCTTGCTATGGCTGCCTGTAGACTATCAAATCAGCTGTAAAGAAGTCTCTCCTTCGATGTGAATTTGAACGGGGCATCTGGGGCCCTGTGCTTTCTTCTCTCTTCCCATAGACTGCTGTCCATGACATTTTCACAGTGAGTAAAAAATCCTAGACAAGCATCGGAAGATGGAGACTCTGAGGATGGCTCTGTGACGCGAGTGCCAGCAGTGTGATTCTGGACCAAGCGCCCCGTGGCCCTGCGCTCCATTGCTTCCCCCCAAGCTCAGGCGCAATGTGCAATCCCATGGACTGGGACGCGCACTTTCTAAGGCAAGAGCACTTTGGCGCCGGCAGCTCAGGGTGAGGTCCGCACAGGGCAGAGTCGCGCTTCCCTCCGGGGCCCCAGGCCGGCCTCCTCATGGCCCGGCTCCCGTGGCAGCTGCCACGTTGCCCGGCGCAGGTGCTGAGGCTCTAAGTCAGCACACGGGTTGGCACCCAGACGCCACGACTCCTGGGGGTGCTCTCTGGTCTCTCGGTCGCCTTGGTTACCTCAAGGAATCCTCTGAAACCGAGGCGCCTGTGTTCAGTGCAGATGGGAATGGAATACGCCCTACTGCGGCTGCGGCGGAGTTCGGAAGCAAACTCCCAGCTGAGGGACACTGTGGCACCTCCACCCTCTAGGCAGACCTCGCCTTAAAGAGTTAGAAGTGGGCTCACGAAGGCCTGGCCATAGGGTAGCTCGTGTGCTGGCTCGGACCACGGTGATGATCTTTCACATTTTAATAGCTCTTTCCCCACCTTTACATTACACAGGGAGGAGTCAATTAGCCGGACGTAAATTACTTCTGAGACCCAGGGAGAGGGCTGACATTATCCACACCATTTCCCGGAGGAGGAACTGAAGTGGAGAGAGGTCAAGTGCCTTGACCAAGATTATATAATGGCCTCGTCAGGAGTAAAGTTTGGGGTTTCTTTTCTGTCTCTGCTTACTGAAAAAATCGTCCCAAGCTGTCACCTTGCAGAATGACAGGACGAGAGCACGTGACACGGGCATGCTCAGGGGCACTGCTGGCCATGGGAGCTGGACCCCACCACTGGACAGAACACCTCGCAGGATTCCCGATCACCCTACCCACACACGTCCCATGAGGCCCTGGAGAGTCCTGGCGGGGTGCGGGAGACCAGACTCTCATGTGACGAACTGGCCGGAAGGGGCCTCTCTCTCCTCTTTCCTTCTACTCTCGCTACCCCGAGAGATTCTCTATATGACGAACTAAAAGGGGAATTGACTCAGAAGTACAAAGGGCTCCGTCTTATTATATGAAGATTTCTCCAGAGTTTGTTTTCAGATCATTAAATACTCAACAGTGGGAGAAACTAAAAGCGCCAATGTTCTAAGCCACCCCCTGGCAGAATATCAATCAGAAATTAAAGTCAGGTGCATCCTGAAGCAAAGTGACCGAAAAGACACACCTTGCTGCATGCTGAATCGTTCTCAGTTTTGTGCAAAGGAGCTGCCTAGCGCAGTGCTGGACCACTGTGACCACAGACGTCAGCCTGCGGTCACCCCGACTTCCTTGGCAGGCTGCACCTGACCGCCCTGCCCCAGGGTGGCCTCCACTGTGGACAGAGGCCTTCCCTAGCACTTCACAGTCTAGTGCCCACGGAACCCTGCCACACACACAGTAGACAGGAGAATGAATCAAATGCAGTTCTGACCCCTTCAGACCACGGGTCCATTTTGTTTTCCCTTCCTTTCCTCCCCTCTCCTTCTTTTCTTCTCTTTCTCTGTGAACCTTGGGAAGAGGAGCCTGAGGAAGATGTGCTCCGGAGCATCTCTCCTGTCTGAGATGCTCAACTGAAAATGAGAACCAGCAGGGCCTATCCTACAAAGAGGCGGTCGGCCACCCCTGGCCTGCTGGGGTTTCCGCAGTCCCTCGGGCCAGTGCCCCCAGAAACCGAAAGGAAAAATCCTCCCCATTCAGCCTGGCCTCCTCAGCTTCCCCTCCCAGCCCCAGGCCCAAACACTTCCCCCAAGGTCCATGACCTTTCTGCTGTCAGATCCAGCGGAAGCATCTCTGTATTCATCTCAGTACTTTATCCTCCACCTTTTCCTGGGAGCCAGGGCTTCCAGAAACGGCTGGGCGGTTGGCTTTGGCGATGGTCCTTCTCCTGCTCTTTGCTTGCCTCCCTGCAGTCCCTTCCCCACTTACCCTGCAGGTTCCATGGCTGCCCTGACCCTTTAGGGCTCGGCCTCAGGGACTTTCCTTCCCCACAGCCCCTCCTGGGTGTCTCCGTCTGTCCCTGTTGTTCTCCTGCAGCGACAGTCCTCGCCGCTGGCTCTGTGTGGTGTCCCCAACTGCCCGTGACCTCTCTCCTTGGCAGCTCGCTGCACTTGCAGGACGGGCCCACATGGAAACCTTTCCTCCCTGAGGACGGCTTGGACTCATCTTGGTTCCTCGCTCCCCCTCACCTCAAGAGCCCTGTGCACCTGCAGTCTTCCGAGTCTTATCTCCAAATACATGCGCATGCTGCGAACTCATCTGCACCTTTCTTTTTTTCTGTACTGGGAATTGAACCCAGGGCCTTTGCACTGAGCTACATCCCTAGGCCTTTCTTATTTTACTTTTGAGACAGGGTCTCACTAAGTCACTAAGCTGCCCAGGGTTTGAATTCGTGATCCTCTGCCTCAGCCTCCCAGAGTTCTGGGATTGGGGGTCTGCACCACTGCGCCTGGCTATCTTCACCTTCACTTTCACTACAGTGGTTCAAGATACAGGGCAGCCTGTAGGAGGAGGCAACTGGTGTGGGATGCTCGGGCCAGTCACAGTCAAACATAGGCCACCGGGTGGACCTCTTTCTACACCCTTGGGGAGACTGCTGACGACAAACATTTCAAAGGTGAGTTTCGTGCTGTTTAGAAAAGAGAAGTAGAGTGCAGTGTGAGCCTCAAAGCCCCGGACAGCTCACTGGTAAAGCCCCTGAGGCCTGGCCTACCCAGTGGCCTCTCTCCCTGCAGAACCCACTCTTCCCTCTCCTTCCATGCTCACCCCCTCCAGCAATTCTCCGGGCAGGGCCCACAACGATCTTTTTGAGATAAAATTAAACCTTGCTGTTCCTCCCTCAGACTCGAGTGGATTCCCACTGCTCTTAGATTAACACCTGGAGTCATTAGCACAGCCTGCCCACGCCTACTGGAGCTGGTGCCTGCTGTCTGGGTCCTGAAGGCACCTGGCTCACTGCTGTCCCTGTGCCCCCTGGGCTCCTGGCCACACACACACATGGGCTCTTCTGCCTCAGCTGGGACTCCTAATGCCACCCCAGGTGACCCCGATCTACAGGGATTCTCGGCCTCCTCCACAGCATCCTGTCTTGGTTTCCTCCTGGCACTGAAACTTCGTAATCATGCATGTGCTTCTTGTGTGACCCTCAGTCTGCAGTGAGGGCTGGAGGCTTCGGGAGGGCCATGAGCCCACCGGCCTTGTTTATCAGCTGTGTCTGTGCCTGTGCCTGGCACAGGGCCTGACTGAAGAGAGTGCTGATGGATATTTGATGAGTGAATAAAACTATTCTGCAAATAGACTGGGAAGACCTGCAACCAAATGCCTACTTGAGGAAACACTTCAGGGCAAGTGATTTTCCTTTAAAGTAGGATCTGTCAAAAGCACGTTTGGGAATGTGACTTTTATCAGCTTTGAGAGAGGGACGGCGTGAGACAGTAATGTGCATTTAATGGAGAGGGAGGGAAAAGAGCCCAGTCTGGGAGGTGACATGGAGGAAGCGAGCTCCGGGGAGGAGTGCTCAGCCCCCACGCGCCCGAGGGATGGGCGGGGTGGCCAGAGCTCTAGTTCCCACGGTGGGTGCAGAGTGGTTGGATTTCCACGTGCTCTTTCCTTTGTCAGTCCCTCAAGGCGA